CTCAATAGCACAGATTCTGACAAGAGAGGAGCTGGATGGGCTCAGAGCAGCACTGCCCACGAGCAGAGCTGCCAGGGGAGGAGGGCACAGCATCCTCCTGCAGAACGTGTTGCATAACAACCTCACCAGCACGGCCAGAAGGTTTGCTAATTGCCACATCTGTTTAACAGCTGTCAGATGTTTGCCATATGCTGCCATCAATATTGCAGCAGAGTACATTACAGGGAGTTTTATTGTGTTCCACCGTTATTTATTTGCCACAGACATTACCACAGCCAGTGACGTCTGTTGATGTTAGATCACTAATTATGTTTTAAAAGCTGCGTGCAAATTCCAGGGGGTTCAGCCTCCTCAGCCCCCATTTCTGATGATGTCAATGAGAACGTTTCCCCTCCAGATCTCTGAACTGGTTTATAAACTTCTATCTCTTCTCATGGTAAATAATTCTTCTGCAAAATAACTTATTTATGTTGTTTTTGAAGGATGTTTCTAAGCCCACTTTACATTTTAATGGTGATGCTTGTAAAAACTCAAATTTCTTTTTCAAAACCCACTTCATTCCATGTTTTTTTTCATCAGGGCACAGGTCAGGGCTGGAGGACAATTCAGCTTTGCAGCTCAGAAGGTTGATACCCCAATTCTGCTCCCAGAGCTGCACTGGCTCATCCCATGGCCTGGATTCTTGGTGTGAGCCTGATTTCCCAGAGCCCTGCTGTGCCCTGGAGCTGGGCAGGCTGTGGGGTGAGGCAGCACCTCCCCAGCCCGAGTTCTGCTGTTCTTTTAAACCTTCTGGCAGGGATTTTTGAGACAACTCTTTTCAAGTTACTTTTTTGTCACCATGGCAGAGAAAGAGGAAGCAGAGATTGACAGTGTGCAGACGAGGCAAAATCTGCATGATGTGATTTAATGTGAGTTGATAGGTGTCACTGATCTCTATTATAAATAGACTGTGTGAAATCCATATGATGTATTATTTATCTGTTGTAGATGCCTTTTTGTTTCATTAATAAACCTGGAAATCAGACGTATACGTTTCCGATGATGAGATTTTGGCAATACAAGGCATTGTGACATTTGTCTGCAATTGCTCAATTATTTTGATGATTTTCTTCTTCTTTCTCTATAAATGATTAATGCTTGAGATGCTTGTTCAAGATTCTCCTGATTTTAGCTCATTTGTCCAGCTGAGTTCTTTTTTCCTCCTCTAATTAGGGAAGATTATTGCAGTGTAAGGACTTCCAGTGTGACCTGAATTCCAGTTCCTGGGAGATGCTGCACTGGAGCACACGACAGGGGCCCCTGGCTGAGGTCTGGGGGGTCTGGGACATCCAGGGAATCTCACATTAACAATGAGGTTTCCATTTAAATCTGCCTCAGAGCAGAAACTCCTCTGCTGTTATCCTACCTACACTGGAAAACATTTCCATGGTATTTCTGTGCTTGAGAAAGTTCAGAAAACACTTTGCTGTCTGCTCAGATAGGAAAGGACCTGATTTTTTCCTGTTTCTGCAGAGAACAATAAGCAGCAGCTGGAGCTTTCAGGAGCACCAAGACATCTTTGAAGACACCAGAGGGCAAAGAGTGGTGAAGAAAAGGTAAAGCTGGGGTTGTTCCAGGAGCCAAGGGTCACACCTCGGGGTCCCTGGGGTGGGTGAGGCCAGGGGGTCCCCAGAGGAGGGAAATGGGGCTGGGATTTCAGGCTGCACCTGCAGCAGCAGGAGGTGCTCAGCTCCCACGAGGAGTGGAGTGCCTTGCCCGAATGCCTCCGTCAGTAATCTAAAATTTGTCTGCCTTCTGCATTTGATCTCCTCATTTTCCCCTTCTATGCCTTTTTACTGCTGTTTGTAGCCATTTCAATTATGTGATTTCCTTATCTGTGTACCACGGAGAATACTGTACAAGGCTTTAGAAACAGCTCCTAAGTTTATCTGCCTGTCATTTGCTTTTCATTGTGCGAGATAACAATCTTCCTCATATCTTATAAGAAGATAGAATGTGATTGTTTTGAAATGGGGAGGGGGGGAAAAGTCTACTCTGCATTATCCTCAGCCCTGTAGCATTTGTAACGTCACCAGTGTCAGCACAATCTCCAACATTTCTCCTTGCTGTGGTCCAGGAAGAATTATCTCCGTAGTTTCTTGTGCTTGCTGCTATCTCCTCTTTTTCTCCATTTTAGACACAGTGAGGTTCTTATCTGCAGCGTGGTTCTGCAGCTACAGATTTGCCTAAATTCAGTGTGATCGCTCCAAACCCTTTGGTGGAGCTCATGCACCGAGGGGAAGGGTGAGAGGCAATTGTCAGCAGCTCGCTGGATTAAATATGGACAGATATTATTCATGTCATTTGACAGTTCCTGACTTTCAGCTGTATAATGACAGAGCAACAGTAGGAATTCCAGCAGCCCAGCTTCTGTCTTACTTCAAGATAAGCTTATCAAGCGTAGCCTGAATCCATTCAGCTCCCCAGCAGATCAGAACTCGTGTCAGGCTGAGCTGCTGTGCTGATTCCTGCTTCCTCCCCTGCTCTGCACGTCCCTGTGGGCTGGGCTTTGCCATCCCACAGCTGCCCCCCAGGCTTTTCAGCACAGCCCGTGCCCAGTCTGTGCTCAGCACCTTGTCCAGGGCAGCCCCTGGTGCCACCGAGTGCCCCTGGAGCAGAACAAGGCAGGAGCAGGGACCAGGTGATGCTCAGCCCTGCTGGGGTTTGCTGCTGCTTTGAGCAGCTGCTTTGTTTGGCTTCCTAAAGAGCAGTTTTCATCCTGAGCTTCCTCCTGTGCTGTTCACCCCAGAGGCTCAGAGGGACTCGGAACAATGCAGGAATCACTGCACACTCAGTGGTTTGGGGTTAAGGATTGCCCAAGTGTCTGGAATTTCCCTTGTGTGCCCTCCAGATTACAGCACTTCCCAAACTTGTGGGATTTGGTGTCAGGGGAGAATCGTGGGTTCACAGAACTTTTGGCAGGTGAATGTTCAATTAAAAAAAAAAAAAAAAAAAAGGAGCAAAGTTGTGAAAGGAAATTCAGTGTGTTTGATGATACAGGATTTGATCAGCCAGAATTTGATCCTACAGGAGCTGGAAACTCCTCCAGGCTGGGATTATCATTCTGGCTTTGCCTGTACAACGAAGAGCATAAAACATATAAAAGTGTACAAATGTTGGCACTGGCTGTGGCCACAGGCCAGTGCCCTGTCCTGTCCCTGGCCAGCCCTTGTCCCCCCTCCAGCTGGCAAATCAGAGACACCAAACAAAGTCGATCACTCCAGACTTCTCCAGAATATTTTCAAATCATTTGCGTTTATTAAATCACTGTTGGTTTGGTTTTTCTACTCTGAATGTGGTGGCTTTTTGAGGAACAGCAAACAAAAGTGATCATTACCAGAAAAATGGAAGATACAGAAGTTTTGCAGTTTCTTATCAGTGGGAAACTCTTTGCCGCTTGACTCTTCCCTGGAAGACATTGGTAAAATTATGAGTTCAAGTTTGAGATTAAATGCACGCCTCAACAGCTTGGTTTATACACTCATAATTATATTTACAATTAGAAACAATGTAATTGGGATTAGAACTTTTTTTGTTGGCTGAGTGCACAAAACGAGTTGCGGAGAAATGTCATTTTAAGCTGGGCTTTCTTCCCCACAATTTAGGAGCATTTAAGCTTCATCTCCAACACGCATTAGGAAATTAGGGGCTAATTAAATCCACACGGGGCAGTACTCAGGTGAAAGACTGCTGGGTCCCTCCCGAAATTCCCTTCTGCACAGCAAAGCCCCAGATGCTGGCACACGACAGGACACGAACGCACCACAGTTCCTGGTAAGTATTTTAATTCTTTTATAAGTATTTTAATTCTTTAGAGCAGAAAAGCCAAGTGTAAATGGAAATGCAGATGGGGAGAGGGCACGTGGCTCGGAGTAATTGAGAATTCCCTGGCCTGCCAGGCGGGGTTAATGGGCAGTGCCCCGCAGAAATCCGGCTCCTGCGAGTCCTGGAAATGTCACCGCGGTACCAAACGAGACCTGATCCAGGTCCTTGTGGTGTTAAGTGGAGGCTGCAGGGCAGCTCTGAACCCAAACGCATAATTTGTAGACACAGGATGTCATTTACGATTGCTTACCTCTCATTAAAACTAATCAGAGCGGCTTTCTGGCAAAAATTGATTTTTAATTGGAAAAGTTGCATCTGTGAACCTGTTTTCTTTTCCCCTGAAAAGTGGGGAATTGATGGACAATGTCATTGTCTGCTGAAAGCATTAAGAGCTCTGAATGACCTTTTTTCCCTTCAGATTTTGGCTAAAACTAGCATTACAAATATTGTTTGTATGCTTTGCAGGATGATTTTTGTCAGAAAAATTATTTTCCATTAAAAAAAAAAAATCAGAGGATGTTTTCACTTGCCAGCTTGGGAAGCTCGTGGATGCTGGGATGCACCCAGGAGGGCAGGACCTTCCAGTGGCTTCCACACTTCTCAGGTACCTTTCACCAGGACTCTCACTGGCAGCACGAGGTGCAGCAATGTCACTTTTAATTAAAACCTTTTGTTTTAGCTGCACACAGAGCAGCTGCAGCATCTACAACACGGACAAGGCCAGGGCTGCGGGGTGGAAAAGGAGACGCTGGTAATGGGAAGCCACATGAAGCTGGTTTGTGCCAGAAATCCCAGATTTGTGCTCACTTCTCCCTGGGCTGGGCTGGTGGCCAGGTGGGGATCAGACAGGATGCCCTGGGAGGCTTTTCCAGCTGGGTGGCTCAGGTTCTTTGGGAATTTCAATAGAAACCCCTCCACAAATTGGTGCTCCCATTAGATCCCCGAGGTGTCCCGGAGTCTCAGGAGAGGGCAGATCTCCTTCCCCCACTGCTGGAACCCGGAGCTGGCGAGGCCCTGTCCTCCCCAGGAGCTGTTTTGGGGGGTCTGTCACAGGATATGGGGTGCTGATGTGTGTCACTGAGCTGCTTTGTCCATGCCAGCTGAGCAGGGTGAGAATTCCCTCGGAAGAAGAAGGGTCCTGCGTGGCCCGGACAGCTCCAGGTACTCCTGGCTTTGGGTGCTCCCAGCTTTGGGTGCTCCCAGCTTTGGGTGCTCCCAGCTTTGGGTGCTCCCAGCTCCGGGTGCTCCCAGCTTTGGGTGCTCCCAGCCCAGCCACCCAAACTCAGCCAGGAACCAGGAACCTCCCAAAATCCAGAGGGCAGGGAGCGTTCCCAAGGCTGGCCCGGGCGTGGAGGTGGCAATGTCCCTCTGGGATGGGGGACAAGGACCTGGAATGGCAGCTGGAGCACAGGAGGAGGTTTGCTCCAGCCTGGCACTGCCAGCTGCCCTCTCCTCCCTTCCCCAGGGCAGGAGGTGTTCATTAAATAATGACACTCGGGTTATTTTCAATTGCTACGCCTGGTGTGCAAGGAGGGTTTGTTTCTTTGTTTTGCTGAGAGGTTTCTTCCCTTTGTGAGCACTCCCAGAAATCTCCTTGCAGGATGTGCCTCTCATTTTTCTGAAGACCCCAGGGACCAGAACTCTGTGGGCTGAAGTCACTTTTTTGTCACAGGAGCCAGGTAAGAGCCATGCAGGAGACACAAAGGACCTCTGGAATTTAAACTGCTTCGGTGTTCTGCTCAACGCAGCTGAGCAAGAATTTATGCTGTTCTCAGAGCTAGGCTGCGCTATTGAAAACGGGATTTCATCCTAACGAGCCTAAAATAAAACAACGCGGGGAAGGAGATTTCAAAGTATCCTCAGCTGGATGGGGAGAAGAAGGAAAAAAAGGGAAAAAAGCCAAATCCAACCAAAGAGCACCATCTCCTGGACACGCACCCGGAGAACCGCAGCGCTCCTCCCGCAAATCCGCGACTCCTGAGCTGCCCTGCCTCCCATCCATTCCCACAGAATATTCGTCCGTTTTCCCTTTTCCAAGTTTATCATTAAAAAAAATTTTTTTTCCACTATAGAAAACTAGCTTGTGGAGATTCATTTTATTTTGTAGTGCTTTAAGAGAAAATATCTTTTTGTTTATTTGAAATTCTGCCTTCTCCAGAAAGATTCTCTTCTGTTTCTGCCTCTTGACTGAATAGGTTTGATGGTGAAGTTTTCAGTGCACATTTAAAATCTGCTCTCCATGAATACCCTGCCACGTTCCCTGAAATTCACAGATGAATGAATTTTTACAGCATTCCTGGAAAGCAAACACATCTGACCACGGGGAATATTAGCCTGATAAAGATTTAATTGTAAAATGACAATGAGCAGCAGTTGAAGTTCAGATAGTATTTCCCTGGCTGTCATTTCTGCGCGCAGACATTATTCTAATAGCAAACCCTCTCATCTTTGTTACCCTTTTCATGCTCTTTTCAGTGCCTGAAAAAGTCAAGTACCAATATCTTGTGGCACGAACACAAAGCAGAAGCCTTTTTTTCAGAAGGATTTTTTTTTTTTTGCAGTAGGTGACACAGAGTTCATGAATAGCAGCATTGAGTTATGATACCAACCCAAAATAATAATAATAATAATAATAATAATAATAATAATAATAATAATAATAATTTCTTCTTCACCCCAGGACTGACTAGAGCTAAATACCTGCTAACTAAGGACCAGTAAATCAGATTTTTTAGCTGGAATATCCTAGGATGCTCTGTACAACAGCAAAGCTCAAATGAATTTCTGATGAAGAGTATGTGCTGTCACATTCGTTCTCTGTGCCACATCAGAGTAAATTAAAATCTGCACACAAAGAAAGTGTCTCCTATACTTTGTTCATCATTCTAACATTATCAAATGTCATCTGAGTAGCAAAACTAGAGATTCAACTCCTGCACACCTGGATAATCCCACTAAACTCAGAACAGGACTTTCCTTCCCCTAGCTCCAGTGCTGTGGGATGTGGTATTTAATAACTGATGGATAATTATGGAGTACAAAAAAATTCTCTTTTTATCTACCAACAGCTCATTCAGCTGAGGAAATCCTGTCCGGTAGAAGCTGGAGAGGGTTGGTCTCACAGGCAGGAAATGAAAAGTCCTCCTGTACCTGGCCAGTGAAACACCCACTGCCTCTGACCCCAAAAAGGTGTTTCTGTGCCTGTGTCTGACCCCAGAAATGTTCTCCTGTGCCTGCCTCTGACCCCAAAAGGTGTTTCTGTGTCTCTGACCCCAAAAAGGTGTTTCTGTGCCTATGTCTGACCCCAAAAATGTTTTCTGTGTCTATGTCTGACCCCAAAAAGGTTTTCTGTGTCTCTGACCCCAAAAAGGAGGTTCTGTGCCTCACTGCCAGGCTCTGCTTGTCCTGGAGTGCTGCAGCCTTCTGGAAGCACAGACCTTGTGAAGGAGGGCAAGATTTGTAGAGCAAAACTGAAGGCAGAAGATTGTTTTTTTGTAAGCTTGGGAGTGCACGGATTAATAAATCCTGGTTGTCCCAGCTCTTAGGAATTCCATTCTGTCTAAATTTCAGTTTGGTTTTCTCCTTTCCCCCCCCAGAAGAGCTGAACCTGGGAACAGCATCACTCAAAGGCTCGTTAGTTTGATGAAGTGGCAAAAGTGACTCCAGCTCCCGTGGGTACTCCCAGCTCCGAAACATTTACACACCCCAAGGGAATTCTGAAAAACACCACCAAGCCTTTAGGTACTGAATCACAGGCAGCTATTTTGAATCTTTTTTTTTTTTTTCTATATTCTTTTCTATGAGGATGTCAGAACTAAAATATGGAATATGATTTTCCCACTTGGTTCCTATTACTTGTAAAGCATTCAAAAGCTTCCAGAATAAAATTACCTCTATGCCCTGCCAGGGAGCAGGCAGAGCTCCACGGAGTATCAAGGGAGTCCCTCTGCTGGTGTTGCTTTCCATTTTTAACCCAAATATAATCATAAAAATGACTAAATGTGAGACTGGAGCTGTACAGCCTTAGATTTATTTGCATTTATTTGTTATCATGTTCATCCCAGTGGAGTTTTACTGTGCTTTTATATTTATACAAAAAGTGCTGAAATATATTCCATAAATCAAGGGGTTCATTTTCAGGTGTGACATATTCATCATCACCATCATCATCATCATGTGAGCTTGTTTTCAAACTTTGTTCATATGAGAGCAGCCAATTTGCATTTAGGGGAAAAAAAAAATTGAGAGAGAAATGCAAAGAGATAAGAGGTGCAGGAAGCTGAATTCTGCCCTGAAATTCCATCCCTTCCTTTTCTATCCCAACTGCACATTTTCCATGGGGGGAAAGGCACTGAGGCACATTTAACCCCATAAATGCATGACATTTCCCCTGGGTGGCTTTGGGTCTGTGTCCTGACAGTGAAGAATTAAACAACTCAACAAAAAATACATTTCTATTTTGTTCCAGTATTCGTTTGAGGCTTAATCACAGTTGTCAATGTGCCATTGCAGTGAATAACATTTTCATATTGAGTTATTTTACAGTTCTTACAGCAGTAGGGAATATCTTAGGGTACTAACTGATTGTTTTGGCTTTATTTATTGTACAGGAAAGCAATGACATTGAAAATATTGTATAAACAGCAAATACATTGAGCAGCAAAATCCCTACCCTGCATTATGAATTGAAATGACATTATTTTAAAACATTTGAAAAAAATCATCGTAATTATACGTTCTCAACACAGAGACAAATTACCTATTATTTTAACATAATTAATTTGAGCTCAGAGCATTTATGTTGCTGTGTGTGTCATTATCCATCAAAATGCTAAAACTTGGGGGTTGAATCTTGAAGTTTTTACTCCAAATCTGTAATTTGTTTGTCTCCACCTTCAATACCTGCAAGTTTTAATTACAAATGACATTTCAGTTTGTTGTCTGTCCCCTTGGCCAGGTTTCCATGCTCACTTGTGATGATCTTGCACCAGGGCCTTCAAGAGAGAGCTCTCCCTTTTCAGGGACTTCAGGCATGTAACCAAGTTTCTGTTCTTTCCCCAGGATATGGATGGGTTTTGAGGGGTTTTTTGCATCTTACTGGTATATCCTGATCATTGATTCATTTACACTTCTGATTAATGTATTTTTCTCTTCCAAACGCACTCTCCTCCATCTGCTGTGCAAGGCAAAGGGAACAATAATGGTGTTTTATTCCAAGGGTCAGGGTTTGTCCTCCTGGCTGGCTGAACAGGTACCTCTGTTCCCAGCACCTGCACAGGTTTGGGCTGGGTTTTCTCTGAGCTCAGTGTGGGGTCTGCTGCTCCTGTGTGGTCTGGGGTGACAGGAGATGGATGGAAGCTCTGCACGAAGGCGAAAGTCCACCCATTTCTTGTCTCCAGGAGAGCACTGAGGCCACGGCTGTCCAAACTGTGCAAGGAACGCCTGTCTCTGGGGCTCTGATGAGCTCTGACTTTTCTGTGCCTCTGCTTTTCTTCTCCCTTGTCTCTCCTGATGGACATTTGTCTGTTGTGGGCCTTGTTTGCTTGCACTGCACTTGTGGGGAGCCCGGAGCAGTGCAGTATTTCCATGTCAGCCGGGTTAAGGGTGAGGAACATTACACATGCACACTGATTTATGCCTCAGAGGCTGCAAATCGTGTCAAGTGTGATCTCAGCACAGCTCTGCTCCATGACTCAAGCGCTCGGTGCAGTGTTACACTCTCAGACATCAATCCTCACCAGGCAAGGGAGAACTCTTCCAGAGCATCCAGAAACTCCTGGGCTGGGAGACTTTAATTAGTTATTCACGAGATAATAATGGTGTTTGCAATGTTTGTGTCAAAGCCAGAATCCCATCATCACTGAGCTCAGCTGTGCCCCATCCCCACCTCGTCCTCAGCCCAGAGCTCTGAGTGCCACCTCCAGGAATTCCTGGGACACCTCCAGGGATGGGATCCAAACCTCCCTGGGCAGCCCCTGCCAAGGCCTGACCACTCTTTCCATGGGGAAATTCCTCCTGAAGTCCACTCTGAGCCTTCCCTGGCACAACCTTTTACACCAGTCCTTCCATAATTCTATTTTGCAGGGCCATATGGCAGGAGCTCCTGTGAGCGGCTGT